CCTCTATAATGACACAGAAGGATCCAAGTAAAGGGTTCCACAAAGATATGATAAGACATATCTTGCTAAAATAGTTTTGGAAAATTCATTCCAAGCATCACGTGACATTCCTTGAATCATGACGTCAAAAAACCTGTTTTCTCAAACGGGGCAAGGTTGTTAAACTTCAGCCTAAAAATACTTGTCATCAAATTGTCAGCGAAACTGTCTGGATTGTCAATTAGCCTTGCACGGTGGATTAAAGCATTTTTATTAAGAGTTATTAAAGTATTTTATAAGTCACGTGACCTGTTTTTCCTTATTTCGTAATGCTTGCTCCACTTAGGCATACATGCAGGGGTATTTCATAATATCCAGGCAATGGGAAAAACGCGGGTGCCTAACAATAATTGCTTCTCTTTCATTTCCTTTCCCCCATTTTAATTTGAAAACTTTGAACGTTACCGATCGTTTGCAGGTCACGTGACTTTTATTTCATGAATATCTCACATATTGTTAAGGCCACCGAGCTAAGTTTAATGACGACTGATCAAAACAATCCGTTTCAAATGCTACTTCGCCAAATTATGCAAATTATGAGGTGACCCATGCCTTAACATGCCTGAGTCGGATCTGTTGAAGTGGGAATCAAACTAAGAAGTCAGAGAGTTACAAAACGTTTTATATCAAACAGCCAGCGAAGTGTTAAGCAGAGTTTGATGTTTTTCATTTATTGCTGCGGGTCTCTTACGACCGTAGACATGACAGGTGTTGCCGTCTTCAAAAAAGAAATCGGACATTTCGGTTAGGATCATTGAACACGCCTAGACCTTTTTCTGCGCTTTCCACGGGAAAAATAAAATTGCGGAATAAGTTTAGCTTTTCTGATACGTCAGTGGCTTGTCTTCCTATTCGAAACTTTTTCGATTTGTTTGAAATACGTCTTCTATTATCCATCAGCTTTCACAAGGTTTCAACAGTACCAGGCTTTTCACGGCGGATACCTAAGCCTCCGTTTAAAATTTTAATGCGCGAGAAAAGAAGGAAACAAATGGTATTCGTCTTAGTCCGATGGACATTTCCACCGAAATTGCGGGGTGTTTTGAAGTCATGTAATATACCCCTCTGTAACAGACCCAGCGGAATCTATATCTTCACTGGGTTCTCGGAGAAAACGTCACTGGATTGGTCTATTTTCCACAAGGTTTTTCTTTTTAGTTGCGTACTTCACATAAAAGTAGAAAGGGGTCGCAGGCCTTACATCTTTACTGCAACTTTGAACGCCTTTCACTTAAAATTATTGCTGTATCGAGAAGAACTAAACGCTTTACACTTTTTCTATGCCAGACTGATTACCTGTGCCCACCGTATTTTGTTTTTGTCAATGGTAATAATGTTTTTTTTTTTTTTATTTTTGCTTCTTCTAAACAACTATGAATAATGAAATATATAGTCGTGTAGAAGTAGTAACAGAAAATGACCGGGGACGCAAAAAATCAGCGGAGTAGAAACAAACTACTCACCGGAAAGTAGAGACTTTTTTATCAATGCGCTAAGGAATGGAACATTTTAGACGCATCTTTTAAAGAAATTAAATCTCTTCTTCTTTTTTAACAGAATATTAAAAGCTATATATTTTAGATATTTCATAGCTTTTAATATTTAAATCTATCTGACATTTTAACATTTTTAACCTGTAGCTTGTATAATTTAGGTTTTTAGTTCTTAACATTTTACTTATTTAAATATATACGATTACGCATTCATTTATCTAAGATCTTTTTTTTGTCTATTGTTTACAGGGCCTCACTGAAGCCTGGTTTCCATATGATCGTCCGGATCGTCCGGATCGCCCCAGTCTTTTCAAAATATTTTGAGACGATCCGGACGACTGGGGCGATTGGTAGTTTCCATATGATCGTCTCGATCGCCTCAAAGGCAAGAGACGCGGGGTCGTTAGCGATGTCTCTGGGTCAGACAATAGAATTTTTGCGCGTGTTTTACAAACAAGCCACATAATTGTTTTTTTTTTTTTCGTAAAGCGAACCTCGTACCTTGGTATCTGCTTTTTCTCTTGATTTTGCGGCATTGAGAAGCTAGAAGAGTTCCCCGTATCTTTTCGAAAACTTGATGTCACGGACTTTCTCTAACTTCAAATAACCTCCATACGCGCTGCGAACATTTGTGTATTATGTTTTCGGCTTCAGCGCCATCCGGGCCGAATTTATTCTCGATTACTGGAATAAAAGTGATGACTTCTGGGATAGCCTTCGATCGTCCCGATTGTCTCAGTCGTCTGAGAGCGTTTCCATATGATCGCTTCAAAATTTACATGATCGTCCCGATCGTCCGGATAGAACTCAACTCTATCCAAGCGATCGAGGTCGTTTTCAGTCGTCCGGGTCGTTTGCGATCGTCTGGGTAGCGTTTCCAAATGATCGTCCCGATCGTCTGACCGATCTATGGAAACCAGGGTTGAATATCACTCTTTGTGAAGTGAGCTCCATGTATAAAGATTGTTGTTGTTGTTGTTGTTGTTGTTATTATTATTATTATTATTATTATCATCATTATTATTACTGAGGAGACTAAATTTTCACTGGGTAGACTAAAATAAATTATTGGGTAGGGTTTCAGAGGTGTGTTGTAATTTTACATATGGTTGATAGTTGTGTCCTTTCAGCTATTCAAGTTCGAACTTTGTACTATGCACTTACCTGTTTGATGGCAGAATAAGGGAAAAGATAGAAAATACAAAAAAAAAAAACATGGTTCCTCCTGTGTAGTCCTACGAACTAACTGCAGCTCAAAGAAGTATATTATCAGAATCAAAGGCGTTCAAGGGGACCTTGAACCACAGCTGGTCAAAGGCAGGTACGTTTAGAAAGTTTTTCATGCCAAGACAGCATGTAGCCTCCGTTAAATCCGATTACGCAATACCTCTATGTAAGGTAAAGAACATGGAATGCGACCTGACTGGGCAATTGCACATTCCAAGAACGTAACATAACCTCTTAAATACTGGCCAAGGCTTCTTCTCAATGAATGAGTAATTTATTCAAACACATTCGAAATATTTTCTTTAATGTTCGATCTTTTTTTACTAAATAAGGTAGCCATAATCTGAGATAAAAGTGAAATGAACTGAGGCCGGCTTCAGCATCACCGCATGCATGCAATCCACATACATTAATATTATTGCTGAAGCAGACACAGTGATGCCAACCTCTGGACATCTGAAATAGGAACTTTCTCTTTAGCAACCCCATCCTAGCTAAGGAACCCAAATAATAAACAATCCTATCCGCGCCATAACTCACTAACTCAACCAATAATTATTTTCTTCGGGGATGATCTCATCAATGCCATAACCGTAATGACGTAAATTCACTTTTCCAGTTAAAGAAGACGAGTAGAAATCGATAAGGAATGCTACCAGAGACAACAGCGTAAACTTTGAAATAATAATGAAAAAGTATTTTTGATTTTGGAATTAAAACTTTGGGATTAAATTTCAGACTATGGAATGGAAAAGCTAAGTCATAAGGGCGGGTACCATCCTTGCAATGATCGGTACCAGGATTTATATGATGCAGTTCACTGGCATGATGGTGCATTAGAGGCGCCCCAAAATAGTACAGTTTCGAGTTCGCCATGACCGCTGAATTAAAGAAGTGAAGACGCATTTTTTACAGGCTCAGCCTCCATCCGAAGTAATCTATCCACAAATTCCAACGAGAAAAAAACCTGTTTATTACTCTGTCTATTGTGTATACTCAAATTTCAAACACTTACTTGCTAGAATGTCTGATTAGGGACTGTGCAATAATTATCAGGAGTGGGGGTGAGGGGGGGGGGGGCTGAAAAACTAGAGGGGGCGCATTACATAAAATTGCTGCCAAGATAGGGGGGGCTCAAAGTAAAATCACTCATTTGACGGAGGGGGAGCCTTAAGTTTTATTCGAAATGTGGAGGAAGGCATCTGCTGGTAAACGTGAAAAGATGTGCGGAAATGCTATGTGCTTGAAGCTTCAGAAGCTAAAGGAAGATCGTGTACGACAAGGGCACTACTTCTAAGAATACCTGAAGTTTGCTTGTGAGCCCACATGTAAATCGTGTGAAAAGGAAGGGTGGACAGCTGGTGTCCCTGCAAATTGGTTCCCTGTTCCTGATCTTAGTGATACAGCAGCCTTACCACGCGGGTATATTCCATCCATTGTGACCAGTCTGAGTGATGAAATCGATCGACAACTTCCAAGTGCGCAAGTCAAGAAGTTAGTCGATTCTGGTATGTTAACCTCTTCCAACGCCAACGAAATGCAGGAGGTGTGCGAGAAGTTGATGGTTGATGAAATCACTCTCAAAAGTTTTGTTCAACATCGTGAGTTTCTTGCACTGAAAGCTCAAAAAATTAACATACATGTAGAGGCCGCGGCCTGGTGAGAACACTGTGAGCATTCTTTTGAACTTTCCCTTTCCATTAATTTTGTGTCTTTTATCAGTGTACATGTAAATTTCAACCTTGAAAGGCAAAAATTTTAGTCTTGAAAACCAATGCATGGGAAACCCATGCCAGCCATTCTGATGACAATGTACTGTAAGTCAAATGGTGTCAAATCCATGTCTTCCCTGAGCTACCCCTTATAAACCAACAAATACTCCCTAGACAGATTCTGATTCATCAATCATTTCTATAGCCTTTTGAAATAATATGAGACAAAGCTGTCTAGGGGAAGGGGGAGGAATTCTTATCTACTTAGTACTACCCTGAAAGAACGTATGGATGTACGGTGATGGCATAACCAAATTTTCTTGCATCAATGGGTTTCCAATTTTTCTTAGCAATGGAGGCTCTGCCGCACACACCTCCACTATGAAGTAACGGGTGAGTCAACGTCATGCATGTACATTTTTTGCACAATAACAAGACAAATGCCTCAGCTAATATGAATGTTCTGGTAAATTAACCCTTACAAAATACATGTAAATTAAAAAATTAAATGACCTAGACTGACTTGGTATCAGTGAGGTCTTTTTCTTAGTACCAAGCACCAAAGACTTTTACTCTCAGGAAACTGCTCCTCAGGGTAACAGGGTACCTCCCACGCAGACGTTCTTAGGGGTTCGTCACATGTTTTTGTCCCACAAACGTCTGCCGAAAAGAGAGGGCAAAATCGTAGACCAATTAAAGCACACTTGCGATCTGGGAAGTCCACTTTGGACCTTGACAAATTCTGCGCAAGACTTCAGAAAAGATCAGAGATCTTACTTTTAGAACAAACTGCTCAATCAACTCGCACACCTTCAAACCGAGACAAATAATCGAACCATTATCTCCTACATTCTTGTCTGAAACAAAACTCTTTGGTCACGTACAGCAACTGTATCACACTCCATACCGAGCGTGTGTGTTGTTTGGCTGGTCAACACTTTGACTTCAACAGTGCCGATCGGTTCTCCAATAGTCAGCACTTGAGCTCCAGTTGACATTTGCGAACAATGGGAAAGAAATGTAACTGATCGTTTTAGCAGACTTTTGTGGGACAGGAACCCATGACGAACCCCTAAGAATGTCCGCACGGGAGGCTAGGGTAGGTGTCTGCAAGGAGAGGGATATTTAATTGCTTGCACTCTACAGAGCACAATAAATATTGTACTTACCGACCACTACAAGTTCAATAGAGCTTTGTATATCAGGGGGATTAAATGAGTTGAAAGATAGGTCACATTTAAATATCCTGTTGTCACTTTGAGCAATGTTGGATATACGGAAAGTGAACTGTCCTACATTTCCTGACAACGATCCAGAATAGCTGATTCTGCTATCTGAGTAGCCACTCCCTGGGTTGACTTGAAGTTGTCCCGTGGGAGTTCTTCCAGCCACAGTTGTATCAGCATTTCCTGTGCCACTATATTTCAGCTGCACCTCTTTGATTGTGCGTCCATCTGTGTTGTAGTTCCAAGTCAAATCGTAAGAGTTGGATCCATCAAGAACATAAACTTTACTCCCCCTTAATGGAATTAAAGTTGGTTGACAATCTGTAAAAGCATGAACACAGAACCATATTAAAGAAAACAATATGCAAGAGTTTTATTATCCCACTCTGTGATTACCCAGCACTTCTTTATCAACAAGATGGTGGACTTGCAAGTCCCAAGAGCTGCCAAAGAATCCTACCAGCAACTAAATGTACATAGTGTTCTTCCAGAAATGAAGTTTGCTTGCCATGTGTCCAAAACATGAACCAAGCACTTTGATGTAAACCTATAATAATATTAATCAGCTAATCCTACATGTAGCCTTACACTCAGAACAAGTGCTAAGGGGTATAGGGACCAAGGATTTCCCAAGGCTACTATATAAGTGTGACCCACCCAGCTGCTACAGTATTTCCATAGAAAACAAAAGGAAAATGGAACAAGAAGAAATTCCTATCTGTTCAATTCCCCACTGACTTATAATTAGATGATTATACCTGGTAACGTCAAGTCTTAGTGACAGCCCTGCTTACACTGCACTACCAGCACTTGTAAGCCTCTGGCAACTTACTATATACATGTGCATTGGTTCTAGGCACTCAGCAGAATAAATTTTACTATTATAAATTGTACTTGTTATCATAATTTTGGAAATCAGCGCAACCTACAGATTACTTAGTTAGAGCTGTATCTGCAAGCAGCAGGGGGGGGGGGTTGTGGTTACTTTCTTCAAAACAATGTATAATAAAACAATAACAATAGATTGGGTTTGCGTGATATCCTAAATGATCAAGGTCTCGGTAAGGTCCTGTTCAGACGCCGAACTTTCCATGAGCAAAACCTAATACATTGAATTAAGTACATGAAAAGTTCGGCGTCTGAATCAATTAGGAACACCTGTTTTTAATTTGGAATGGCTCAGCCGTTCCTTTCACCTAGCCCAGTCGGGAATTTCGCCTTTGAAGCGACTTTGAAACAGCTTTAATTCAGACGCCGAACTTTTCGTGTAACAAACCTAATGCATAAATTACTATAACCTATTTTGTAAGCAGTTTGATCAAAATGAGCATTTTTCGCCTAGTTTCAACTTAGTTCAGCTGCAATTAAGATCGGCATCTGAATCAATTCAGCCGGTCTAAATAATTTGGGTCGGCCTTAATTCGAATTAGGTTCGGCTCATGAAAATTTCGGCATCTGAACCGGCCCTAAGTGTTATCAGCTGAGGTACAATGATAGTTTAGTATTTGAACCTCATCTTTATTTAGGCTGAAAATACTGGCTGGTCAACGGACAATGTCCGACCTGATTGCGGACTTGACCGGTCAAACCCCGGTCTTGCCGGTCATATTTTTGACTGGTCATTTTTGGATACAAACATTTTATTTTCCATACAGTTGTCGCTTAATGCTCTATAACGCTGTAGTGATTTCTTTTTTCTTTGGTGTGTTTTGCTGCTTTGCAGTCAACCCTTCTAAGAAAAAGAGTGCCGCAATAAACTAATTTCATGCAATAATGTAATGAAACGCAACAAAGTGAATAACTAACTGACTTGAGGTGGAGTAACGCAACGTTGCAGGTTGTACTGTACTTTCTGCTTTACTGTAATCAGTAAATATGTGACCTTCTTTGGGAATTCGATTGGAATTCAGGCAAATTGATTGCAATAGACCTTGTCACGGTTTTCGACGCCATCTTGACGAGTAGGCAAACGCGTCAGAAATTACAGTGTTTGTATGAGAATCTAATGTCGAATAATTTCTGTAGAATGGCGGTTCTGAAAAAAACATGAATTGTAAACTAAAGCTTCACTCCTAAGGAACCTACTGAAAAAAATTGAGGGCATTAGACGCACTAGAAGACCTAGAACCACTTTTTAAAATTTTCTATACATTTGTCTGTAAGAAAGTCCCAGGAAAAATTAGAGACAAATATATGGAAAATCTAAAGCAAGTCTCTGGAGAAATTTAAGCACAGGTACGCCCAAAAAAATTTTTAAGTACAATCCTTTGTTTTGTGGCTTCAGTTTACAAGTCATATTTTTTTCAGAACAGCCGTTTTATGGAAATCATTCAACATTAGATTCTCATACAAACACTGTAATTTCTCACACGTTTGCCTACTCGTCAAGATGATGTCGTAAACTGTGACAAGGTCTCTTCTCAACAGGTCGTCATCTGTTTCTCCAGGAATAATGTTAGTGCGTCAATTATTAATAATAATAATTTCACTACGTCGAACAAGAATCTCATTTGCGGACTCGATTCCAGAATAGTCTAATAAAAATTTAAGCTAATCGAGAGGGAACGTCGTTGTCTACCTCGGCACTTAATTCTCCTTCTCGTAAACAACTTTATGTAAACTTGTGTTGACATTTGAGCCCTTTGTGATAAAGTGTTGCGCGATGACCCAAATGAAAACTCTGCTGTATATCTATTGACTTCTGACAATAAACACAATGTTTGGGGAACAAACTTCTCGCCAGTGCAATTCAACTTCTTTGCCGAAAATATTAGCGACGATTCTTCTTTGTGGAGGAGACTTTTGAAAACGTGTCCGGCAAGGAAAAAGATCAAGTTTCACCGACGTTCTTTTCTGAACATCAACGTAAAACAAATATCTGCAGATTTTGTTCTTTAATAACCCAAATCATTTTTTTTTTTCGTAATTCCTAAACTTTGTTAAACTGTATGTGTATTCCATTTCCTAAACCTTGAGAGTTTGAAAAGGATTTACGCTTCACTTTTTACCTTTAGAGACTTCGGACACCGCCGTACGACGATACTCAAGGTAGAACGGACATAAAAACGCGCAAAAACTGCGGAAAGGAACTCTACAACGTGTGAATACATTTTTCACCAACTTGCTGTCAAAAATGTGAACGTCATTCAATGTAGTAATAACGATCTATTGCCAGCGTAATTCCATATTCCTTGGGCAAAAAAAATAGTATTCATTACTTGACCAGCCAGAATTGGGGTTTGTCCGGGCTAAAAAATATTTGGCCGGTCACCATGACCGGCGACCTACTGTCCGTTATTTTCAGCCCTGGTAGGTGTTACTCATATTATACTACTACATGAGAAATTTCCGCAATTTGGTTGGCTTAGAGCAGTGGTATTTCAGCTTAATTTGAAATACCTACATGTGAAAATTACAAACCTTTTTCGGGTAGTAGTACAAACAAATAATAGCATGATTTGTACGTGATATTTGGCTTATAAATACCACTCGTGATATTTCAAAATTGTCTCAAATTTCACTCGCCTAACGGCTCGTGAAATTACGCATAACAATTTTGAAATATCACTTGTGGTATTTATGCCAAATACCACTACAAATCATGCTATTACCTATACTAAAATAAATAAACAATAATGACTTTTGTCACTCACTCTTAGGTGAGCGTTATGAGCGGCCCAAGCGAGCAAAGAAAACCAAAGACTGCGCGACAATGAATGACAAACTTTGGGATGTTACTAAAACGGGGAACGGGGAGCGGGGAGCGGGGAGCGGGGAGCGGGGAGCAGGGAACGGAAGTCTGGGAACGAGTTGTCAGCGGAAACCTCCACAAAAATCCAAAATGGCGGTCCAAAAAACGAGACAGAGAAAGAAGAAGACAAAGAAAGGAATTTGTGGGTGGTTTCTTGGTGTTGCGGATCACCAAATGACGTCACCTTTAGACCGTTTTGTGTTTCTCACTATCATAAGGTTCAAGTTTTTATTCAACCTTTAATATATAGATTTAGCCAAGGCTAAAAGCGAGGCTCCCATTAGTAAATTTATAATTTAAATTAAACAATAAACTTGTATTCGAATTCCACAATTCAGTTAACTTTAGAGCACATTTATGTGACTTTTGAGGGAAAGGCTACCTGATTTTAGAGAAAAATAATTTGCAAACAGCCCAAGAGTGAACCAAATCTTACATCGAGTTGATAGCCTCATATGTACACTCAAAAACTGGTAATCATCTTTTATCACATTTAAGAGCCGTAATGGCTATTGATCACCGTAGATCAATTAGGCTTAGAAAAAAAACCAGGCCAACGTTTTGGCGTTCGACAAGTTTACTTTGCAAAATCTTGCCAACAAATCTGGGTGCGTGTAAACCAACCTTTTATACCATGGACAGAAAGCAGTATTTCACAATACAAATTGCTCTCATTCAATATTCATAAACTGTTAAAAAAATTTTCCAAAATCACCTATACGGCCATCCGGTTCTCACTTTTGTAGTGCGAGCTGTAGCGAGTGTTTGAATGAACATTAACAGAGTTACGCTCCAAGATAATAAAGAATTTATCATGTTTATTTTTTATTTGATGGTTTAACGCGCGGCATTTTGAGAACTCCTGCAAGCGATGTTCACTGAACGACTGAAAACAATCGGCATAGCGATTAAAATTGCAAGAGAGACTATTAACAATCAATAAAAAAAATATAATTCGGTGAAACATAAACAGAGACAACAATTTTCATTCAGGAAGACAAGTATTAAAGTGTCCCTAAATATCCTGAATCTTCAAGCTTCAAGCTTAAGTTTGCTGAAGTTTATGTTTTAAGCCAACTTCCCGGTGTTTGTTTTTTCAAAGACGAACTCGAGGCAAGAAAATCGCTCAAAGCTTTCTTTTCCGGCTAGAATTATAACTAAAGATTCTTTGGAACATTTTCTTTCTATTTGCGGTGAGAAACTGTCTAAAGGCTTTTTAAAGTTCTGTAAGATTATATCAAACCAGATACTCGGTGAGATCGTTGTCTCAAATCTTACAAACGCGCATAAACTAAATCCCCGCATAAACTACGCTCCACTTCATTAAATTAGATACAAAAAAACAAACATGAAATACAATAATTTCTCTGGCTTACCATTCGAGATGCAGCTCCTGAAAGTTATCAGGTAAAGCCAGTATCGCTTCAGACTTTGCAATCCTCTTACGCATCAAGCAAGGTGAAAACGAAAACGATGCCATCCGAAATCGGATTTCCGACTTTGACAAGCGACGTTTTCTCAACCAAAAACCAAATAAACAAACTAGCCATGAGTAACAGAAGACTCCT